GAAAAGCGGGGTTGTTATGATTGGGCCTTCGGCCTGCGGGTAGCTCCTTGAGAACATGCGAAAAGATCCAAGAGGGTAATCTTTCCCTCTCCGCACCGCCACATCCTAGCCCGAAAGAGGAAATGTAATCCGCCAAACTCCGCGTACATTTTCCTACGCGAAGTCCACGTCTCTACGAATAGCCGTACGTGTATCCGTAACCACGAGGCCTATTGTAACAATCCTTGGTCCGGACGCCTGTCTGAGTATGTACAGCTTGATGACATTGGTTCATCTCGGCTCGATCACGACGACATCAACTTGCCTCAAGACAGCATCGTGGGCATGTTGAGGGATGTCTGAGCATGATTTGGCTGGCGAGATATGGAAGAGCCCTCTGCCGTCGCTCCTAGACATCAGCGTTGCGAGGCGGGCTGGCCAAAGAGGCCTAGATGAAGATATAGTCGCAAAGTAAGTCTGACGCGTTGCGTTATGTTTCAAGCTTTTGTTGACGCAGTGATACAGAGACAGCCAGGATGACTCTTTCCAATCCATCTCAATTTCCCCGTCGTTGAGTCAACATGGCGTCGGAAGACCATTCGAAGACAGGGAAAAAGCGAGATTGTTCATGCACTACATTCATGATCTCTCTACATGGGTAAGTGATCGTCTTGAAAGTACATGGACTCAGACATAGTGATCGAGAGCTAATGTTCAGAATCGTACAGGTAGATGTGAGCGACAAACGTCGACATTTCGGAACAGAAGTGCCCAAAAGAGCATGTCATTCACCCCTGCTTGCATACGCGATCATAGCATTGGCATCTCGAAGCCTCTGCTCCATCAAAGGAACCGATGACTCCAAACCTTCTACCTACTACAGCCACGCCTTGCAAATCTTGATACCGATCCTGGGTAGCTCTACAGAGGCCCTGAATGAAGAAGTTCTGGCGGCGATCGTAATCTTGAGACAATACGAAGAAATGACTGGTAAGAGTTGCCAACTTTGGTTGCGATTGTCTTTTGAAAATTGACTTTCTTTTTGAAGATACCGACTTTGGCGTTCATTTATCCGGCAGTTCCAAACTTCTCAACTCCATGTTCAGCCTCGCGAGTAAAGGTGGACTGGGAGAAGCAGCGAGTTGGATCGTATTGCGCCAGGACTATTGGGTCGCCCTGGTCAAATCCCAGCCTCTGAGCATCAACTTGGACAGCTACAAAGGTTCTAGCTCGTTCGTTGTTTCCGATCCCGAGTGCCTTGCCAACCGTGCCGTCTTTTTGTGCGCCCAGGCCTGCGCCTACGCCTTTCAACCCACCATGGTCAGAGACCTCGATCGATGGAATAAACTCAACCAGGAGCTCGGAAACTGGCTCGTCTCTAACCCTTGGCATGCGGATCCTCTCTGGGTAGACCCGCCGCATGATACCAGTGCCAACGGGTCTGCTTTTCCAACGGTATGGATGACGCATCCTGCTCATGGTGAGACTAAATATCGAAAGTTCGCCTTCTTTCCTTGTGGAAGCTAACAACTTGTGCTTTTAGTGGTGGGATATCAACATTACAGTCTTGCACGCATGATCTTGCACATTTTCAACCCATATCTAAGCAAACCGAGTCTTGATACCTTTAGGCGGAGAAGGGAGTCAGAGGTGAGTCGGCAGTTCCAAGCCTTTGGCATCAACGTACAATCAGACTGACACCGCTCAGCAAGCAGTTCTGGATAACTTCCGTCTCCTTCTAGGTCTCGCGATCAGCAACCCGCTGGTAGTCAATGCCAGTTTTACAGCTGCCCATGCATTGAGAGCCTGTAAGCGCCCCTGCCTGATCCTGTATTGAATGAGCATATGACTGACTAGTGCGTCCGTGTTCGCATTTACAGGTGGCATATATCTCACGGACCCCAAAGAGCAACGCGAAAGCCTAGATTTACTCGACAAACTACATCAACGGACTGGATGGCGCACGAAAGACTTGGAGGAGCAACTGAACTCTCAGTGGTCACAAGATAGTTGCAACAGTGCCTTTGGGCATCTTTTTGCAGACGCTCGGAAGTGATAAAACCGAAAGTCTCCACGGCCTTGCTTGTCTCTATCACGTTTTTCCGCGGAGAAGAAGCTTTCAGCCAATATCTAGGACAGACGTTAGGTTTCGGCAAAGTCAATGCAGCCTGCGGGCTATCTCTGCTTCCTGCCAAGGAATCATAATCTATAAATCATATCCTAGCTCTTAGTTGACCTTAATGCCGAAGTTTGTGCGTATGAATCTACGTGCCCGTTTGTATAAAGCAGTTAAACGGGAGTGAGCAGACTGGTACAGCATCTTCAGTAGACAGCAACTGAATAAAGACTTTCTATTTCATTAAGCAAGGGAGAACTTTCTATCTGTCCCCTATAACATCGTCTACAACTTCGCCTGCTTCTCAAGGCGCCGACCAATCTCGTGAAAGTACAACTTCTTGCCTGACTCCAGCGCCTCTTGCAGGTAAGACCCAATCTGGACAGCCTTGACAGCGTTGGTCAACTTGAGAGGCAACTTGGTGTTGTCCAGTGCAGCGGCAGTGAATTCGTTTGCCTCCTGGACGAAGGCATACTCGAACCGACCGTAGTAGTGGGCGGGGACTTCCCTGGTGATACCCTGGGGCCCGTAGTAGTTGACAAAGTTGGCTTGGGGGTTTCCATTGACTGTGAGCTTGCCGCCGGTGCCGATGAGCTCTGTGGTATCCTCTTGTCCGTGCGCCATCATACGCGAGTTGTAGAAGTAGGCGATCTTGCCGCCCCAGAACTCAACAATGCCGACGGCATTATCGCAGTCGCCGTGCTCCTTCAGCTCAGGAGAAACAGCTGTAATACCGGATGCTGACACTGACTTGACTTGGGAGTCCTCGCCAAAGAACCATAATGACAGGTCAATGTCATGGACTGTAGTGTTTATTAGTATAGGCAGCCAATCACTTTTGGATAATCGGGAGAGATACTAACCACTCATGTCAACGAAACAACCGCCGTTCAGGGCCGCATACTTGACAAAGAAGCCACTGGGATCATGCTTGTCACATGTTTGAGATCTGATAACGGAAGGTCTGCCGATCAAGCCCGTCTCAATCTTCTCAAAGGCGTCCCTGTATGATGAGTCGAAACGGCGGGAGAAGCCGCACATGACCTTGAGATGAGGCTTGTGCTGGGCAGCAGTGACGACCTCCATGGACTGCGGAGTATAAGCAATGAGTCTGCAAGATTGATGGTTGGAAGCTACTGACCTTGGCGAGGTCGAGAGAGATGGGCTTCTCGCACAGGACGTGAAGATCCTTGTTGATGGCCTTGATAGCCTGATCGGCATGCACCTTGGTAACGGTGGCAATGACGACGGCTTGGAGGCCCTCGTGAGTGAGCATCTCGTCGTAGTCGGTATAGAGAGTGACTCCGTGAGGCTCTAGCTCTTGTCGTGCCCAAACAAGCTCATTCTCATCCGGTGTGAAGGCGGCAACGAGCTGCGCGCGGGGGGTGCGGTGCAGGAAGTTGATGGCATGACGCTTGCCCATACGGCCAAGGCCAGACGCCGCGATTCTGAGTTTCTGGACCATTTTTGTGTATGTGATTCGTGGATAGACAGGAAAATTTACTCAAGCGTCTTTGAAGGGGTATGAATGCAGGTGAGTCAACAAGATGGATGAAGAGAGAAGACTGGCATGCTGGAATCATCTGGCAGACCAGGCACGAGCTCCTCATCTTATATAGGCGACCAAGGCGCTGGCATGCACGAATATGGAGCATCTACAGTGATTATATGAACGAGACATACTCACGATGATACTGAATACGGTTGGAACTTCCTTCCTACCGGTGTTCTGCGGCATTCGGGAAACTGATAGCGCAAAATGCCATGGCTAGAGGCTGAAGCTGTTGCAAACAACATCGAGAAAGGTTGGCTGAACAGACCAATCATGACCCCCAATTCGTCTGAGCAATTGTCAGCCAACGGAAAGCCTTACCCTTCACGACCAACGAGGCAAAATTCGCGCGCGCCGTGGCGATCCCGAGCGCGGGGAAGTGGGTCCGGGGCAGAGGCCGAGTCAGTGGATCATCTTTTGGGGGTTTCGCTCAAGTTTTACTCTTTTAGTCGAATAGAGCAATGCTTTCCGCGACGGTCTGTTGTTAGACTTGGGTCCAGAAATCCGGAGACTTTTTGAATTCCCATTACCCCAGACAGTTATGAGATCATGATCAACTCAAGTAGGTGCCGATTCCCAGCAGAAGCCAGCGTAAGGTAGTTTACTCGCAAAAAGATATGGTGTTAAAGCTTCATTGGGGTTTGAGGCTCCCCGTAAGGCGGAAATAACGAGATTAGATGAGGATACCCATGATTTCTTTTATAAATTTAGCTTACGGTTTTGATCGCGCCTTCTTCGCGAATTGCTATGAACTCAATTGTGATTGTCTATCAACCCCAAAAGACTACATAAGCTCAAACCCAAATTCAATACCAGACGCCTACCGGCACGCAGTTTGCACGAGACTATCATTGTAACATCTGGCCACGATGACTTTGACGCGCCATCGGCGACATTCGGCGTTCTTACCGCACGTCTCCAATTATTATCCCCGCACGGAAATCCCTCCTTAGTTCGACAGACTTGGAAAAAACTGCGCGAAAGGCCCCGGTCAATCGTCCGAGTTACAATGGTGTGTACATTGGCCACATCCCATACCAGCCGCCAGTTCTTGTTCGCCTTTCCCCCACAAACATGTTGCTCACCTTCTGTCGTCCCACCTGAGCCGTTTGCCGCCGCCCAAGAGGAATAACCGCCTTGCAGTGCAAGTGAGAGACAGTCGCTGTTTTCTTGCCTCAAATGCCCAGTCCGGGAACCGTAAGGAGGCCGGGCTGCGAAAGCTGTCGCTCAAGGTACGTTACTGGAGACCATTTACTCAAGCTGTCATTCATCTGTAAATCATTCCCTCTTTACTTTGGTAGGAAGGGTAGCCAATGCCCCGGCCTCTCGGATAGGTTTGCGGAACCCGCGGGGATGGCTGCCATTTCCCTCTGCCGCAGAACCCCTCGCTCCCAGCCCGAGACCGAGAACGGATCGATCTACCGCGTGGCCCCGGACAGTTCACTAACCTGATTTTGTATTGCCTTCCCCAGACATATCAAATGTAAGTGCGGGGGTGGATACGCCCCCCTTCGACAGTGGGAGTATTGACGGCATTCCGTTCCAATAGCTGACTTATTCATAAAGGCGATAAAGGAGCCCCTTGCGGGCAGTGTGTTCGGAAAGGCAGGGCTTGTGTCCGCGGTACCAAGCTCAAGTTCAGACACATTACCGTGCCAAGGTGAATTGCTTATCCCTATTCTCTCTTATTAGTTGTCTCCCCAGCCCAAAGGCACGCATCTGACTGCTTCCAACCTACAGTGACACAGATGGTAATCGAGGGGAGCCCCAATATGAGTTCTCAGATACGCAAAAGTGGTGCCGGGTGGCGGGGAAGAGGATACGCTTCATCGACGAGACCGCCGATATAAACAGCCTCCACAATGATGGATTCGACTCCGACGACGAAGACTTCATCTCGATCGAAGATTATCCCCCGAGTCCACCAGCACTACCACCGCGACGGACCAAGAAAAGACAAGATGAATTCATCAAGCCGTCATCGACCAATCGTCCAAGCCGAAACTCGGACGCCGCTGCCAACGAAACTGGCCAGAGTCCTTTACCCATCGAGAAAGGCCAGCCGTACCCCTTGACGAAGCTACCCGCCCTACACCCTCATCCTGCCTTCCGAAGCCCATCGTCAGGCCACTTGGAGTCAGACGATGCGCCGCGGTCCTTCTCACCAGTGCCTCGAAGCGCCATCAGCGAAATTGGTAGCGGGAGCCACTGCGACGACCCTAGCTTGCCCGAGCCGCGTCGATCCTTCAGTTCCGCCAACTTTCCGTTAGAAGACCGTCGTGAGGCAGATTTAGTTCGCCACTTCAGGGAGTTCATCGCGGCCTCCTTCGACTATGGCGACCCACACAATCGGATCTCGGTTCTTCTTCTACAGCATGCTGCTCTCAGCCCCGTGCTGCTCAATGCTGTCTTAGCTGTGTCGGCAAAGTCGAAGGATGAGGGCGATAGCCTAAACTTCTTTGATAAGCCTGCAGAACGATACTATGAGATGACTATGGAGCTTCTACAGCCTGCCTTGGATGACGCTGTTCCCGAGGTCGATGAGGCACATATTGCTGCCGCCGTTCTGCTCAGGCTTTATGAGAATATTTATAGTGCGTCCTCCCACTGCCTAAGGCTATGGCTTCATTGCCTGGCTGCATGGAACTCGAGAACCTGGCAAAGCATTTGTGACATCATGCCATGCACTCAGTCTCGCTGACTTTCATAATAGTCACACCGTTGTGTCAAAAGACACCTGTAACCCCGATATGGAGGTTCCTTTCCACGCACATCAAGACTCCCGAGCATGGCACTCTCCTGGAGGCAGCAATGTGGGCCTGGATACGCATCGAAATCTTCCGGTCCGTCATGCGAAACGAAAAGCTAGACCTCGAAATAGAGCATGTTGACTTCGATCGCTCCCTCCGACCAGCGGACGACGATATCTGGGCATGGCGGATGTGCCTCCACACCGTCGACGTACTCAACTACTGCTATGGGGAAAACAAGTCCCGCGAGACCTATGACCAGATGGTATCTTACGCTGCGAAGTGGATAAGGTCAGTTCCAGAGTCGTTCACGCCGGTCTTGGTAAAAGCCCCATTACGTGGTAGCCTCTTCCCAGAGATATTCCTATTAAACGATTCTGTCGTAATGGGGCTTCTGTTCTATCACATCAACCGTATTCTCTTAACGATACATAATCCTGATGCTCAACTCTTGGCTAAAGTATCCAAGCAAGCAGCTCGGTCGATCAATGCAAGTCTTCACTGTCTAGGAGCCGCATTTTCTTTGTCTCTCTATTTTTTTTCTTTTTTTGCTTACGTATATGTTGTAGAATGAGATCTTTACCGACGTGAAAATTCTTGCCGGCATGGCAGACTCGATCAGCCCATGTAATCCGGCTCATATGTAGGTTGATGAGCTCTCGGGATTTCTGAATAATCACTCACTCATCAACAGATCGGCCTGCATGGCAATAGTCTTGGCGGGCGACCGTTTCACCATACGGGAAGAGCAAGATGTACTCTACGAGTTGTTATCAAATACTGCAGATGACTTCAGCTGGGATGTATCATTGATGTAAGTTGGCCCGTCTTCTTTGCCAGTTTTCGCCTTGGAACCTAGAGTAGGGAGCTGACATCTTGAGGTAGACTAGCGCACTTGAAGAAGTCATGGAACTGGCCGGAAGACATGAGTATATAGCTCGCTTATGGCACTTTTCTATGACATGCCCCCAAGCTTGTATACCAAGTTGTAGATAACTTGAAGTTTTCTACCTTTTATCAAAAGTTCCCCCAGCCGTGATTTCTACGTCGAACGCTCATGGCCACTTTCTTTGCGGTTTGGTAAATGTTCACCGGCATGCATTCTTGGACTTGCCATCCAGACCAACTAGATGCCTACGTCCATAGGTAGAGCACAGTTCATTGACAATTCTCCCGTTCTTTGTCTAGATCATCACTAAACTTGGAAGATCCTGACTAGTCCGATGAGCGGTTTTCGATTTACGTCGCCCGGAGTGATGTCTCTACGTGTCCGACGGTTCCGTATCGGCTCTCAAAATCATTGCGACTGGGCCTCAAACTATCGTCACGACGTCTCTCTGACGTGAGATGATCGTTATCTGATTGCTGCTCGACCTCGTAAAGCTGTGGGTTGCGCTTCCTCCTTGAACGTTAATGCTTCTCCTATGGTTTCATTTCCAAGATTTCGAACTAACAAGTCCCGTTTGTACAGAAAGTCAAGCAGATACATGCCCGCAACGGCCAGCCCGCCGAAGAGAATTAGTATCTGGTAACCATACTTGTACTTGGGGGCGTCATATGTCGGAAATAGCACAACTTCAGGAGTTCACTAGCATTCCGAACATTAAAACTTGCAAGACAAAAAGCACTCCGCATGATATAAGACTTACCGGGCATCCAAGCACTGAAGGTGTAGGTAAAGATATTGCCCGTAGCGACCAGCAGTTGTCGGAGATTTGCATTGGATTGCGTGATCTCGTGCCCATAGCTGATGACAATTGGCTGAGCCGCACCGCCGGTATAGCTCAAGTAGAAGGCCGCAAACAAGGCCGCCTTAGGAACGTTCCATATTGACAGGATGATGTTCGACACAAGCACCATTGCCTGTACGAACATCACCGTCAGTACTCGACTACCCGTGGCATCTGAAAGCCAGCCCATAGCAAACGCTGCGACTATCTGTATGGCGTTTCCTGGAAATACATCAGGTCTCAGCACTCTTCACGTCGAAGCTAATCGCAGTAATTGTTAGACAAACCTATCGTCGGGAGGATGTTCGTCTTGACGACGCTATAACCCTCCCACTTAAGAAAGAGGTTGAAATACCCGGTACCGGACCCAGCTTCAGCCACCATGAGGTATGGAAGTATGAAAGCCCAAAGCTGCCATGAAGTGTATATCTCCTTAATGGCCTTCAGAGTCAGCTTTGATGGTGGTTTGCGACCCATAGCTTTGATGCGCTCCATGCCATATTCACGGTCCTGTTGATCATGGTCAGCCTGCATTATACGTCGATCTCCACTAACTTAATACAGGAGATGGCCCCTTACTTCTTTTTGGAGGTAGAAAGCCCTGGTATTGTGTGGTAAGTCAGGAAGCGCAAAGAATCCATACAAAGCGATCGGTATCGAGATGACTCCTATGAATGATCAACACCAGCTCCACATTGCCTCGGAGTTGTGCCGATGACTGACCATCCATGATGAAGAGCCACCTCCAGCCAGACAGCCCAGCTGTACCATTCATGCCAGTGTGAAGCCCTGCCTGGAGGTATCCACTGAACATACCAGCAATCGCAGCTGTCTGCTCAAACAAAGCCATACGCTTGGCGAGTTGAGACTTGCCGTACCAACTACCCAGTATGCTAGCGAAACCTGGGAAGGAACATGACTCAAGAAGTCCTATGAAAAATCGCAAAGCGTAAAGCTAACGATTCTTGGTCAGCAATGTTCTACTTTCAAGTCTTTGAGAGCGACAGAGACTGTGAACATACCGTCTCCACATTCTTGGCACTCGCCATGATCATTGTCAAGGCAGACCACCCGAGTTCACACGCCGGTATCCAAATCGACGGACGTACATATTTTAACTGAATCATCTGGACTGGGATAGTACCAAAAATGATACCAATGTTAAAGTATGTGTTTAGGAGGTTTCTCTCATTGCCATAAAGATCAAGCTCTTCTTGCATGCCGCTGACGAACGCATTGCTGTAGTTATTCTGATCGAGGTACTTGATGAAATACCCGAGAAGTACGTAAGAGCTGTCTTCAAGGTCAGTTGCAACAAAATCAAGTCAATAAGAGCCCGACTCACAAGAGGAAGGTGTCCAACTTCCGAACATATTTACGCTCTCGTGGGTCATCCCCCCAGACCTTTCTTGAGACGTTTGAGAGAACCCTCCATCTACCAACCTCGCTAGATGCGAGTTGAACCTCAGGGCCTGTAGACACCTCAAAAATTCTGCTTTCTGCCGTCACTGGTCATGTTTCTTAATGGTAAGTGAACAAATTGCTAAGCTGACTGAAGTGTGAAGGCAATCTTCATCCCTTGCCATGTGCAATCCTTATAGCGTACCCCGTTTCTACTTGAAGCACGCCATTGCTTCTGATTATGATGATCCTGTATCCTCTTCTGATGCATTCTATGTCTTCAGTGCGGCAAGAATTTCGGAAACTGTCCGATGCAAGCCATACAAAAGGCTTGAAATATGCCGGCAAGTGCATGCTTCCCAGGGTCTTCGGCAATAAGCAATGCATTTGAATCTCGCAATTAGAAAAGAGGAGAACTGCCGTATGTCCAAATAATTTACCGGAAAATTTGATGATATTGACGTCGGCAGCATTGTCACGAGAGATAAGATGTAGACATGTTACGGTGCCTTCAACCAATGTGAGGGCATAGATGCTATGACGAATCTCCAAGGATGATGTCGCAACAAGGACAACAAGATCGCGTGCTAGCTTGTACAACCTCCAACACGGAAATAAGCATCCGGCCATTTCTATATCAGACTGGACAACTCTGGCGTAATCGAGGTATTTAAAGTGCGTTTTCTACCAGATTACCAATAAACTCCACCAAAATGGCGACAGAAGTAAGCACGAAGGTCACAGAAGAGCGTCCAACGTTTCAGCTTCGGGCAGAAACGTCTATCAACTACGACAAGGAGAGCGTAGGTATCAACCATCATGAAATATTAATGGGCAAATTCTGATTGCTTCTAGTATGAATATGAAAGCCACCTGCCACATTTCGTACCCGGAACTCAGCCTCCATTGGAAGAGTTCCACCATGACGATGTCGGTTTGAGGGCTGATCCGACCAAGGAGAATCTTTTAGGGGCAACTGGGGTCAGCTATGAAGAGGTTACCCCAGCGGTCGGCACTGAAATCCGTGGAATCCAACTTAGTCAACTGAGCTTTGCCCAGCTTGATGAACTGGCACTCTTCGCAGCTGAGCGTGGCGTGGTGATTTTCCGAGACCAAGATTTCGCAGACATTGGACCCGAAAAGCAGAAAGCCTACGGAAGACATTTCGGTTCACTGCATGTCCATCAGATGGGCGGTCAGATCAAGGACTACCCAGAACTACTCCCTGTGTACCGCGACTTCACGTAAGTCCACCGCGACGACGAAAGCAGACATGGACGATTGACAGACAACGCAGAGCAGGTGCTGTAGATAACGAGATCAAAGACAATGTCACCAGCGTGAAGTGGCACAGCGACATGAGCTATGAGATGTAAGTCCGTTGCCAATGAACACACGTCATCGAATTGGAACCTGACAGCATACTGCAACGGGATGGGTACGACAACGTTCTTGCCTCTGAGCACTCCGGCATCTGGAGGGGATACTCTTTACCTCTCCACCACAGCAGCCTACTACGCTCTCTCAGAAACTTACCGTACGTTACTTCACAGCTTGAAGGCTGTTCACTCCGGCTTCTCTCAAGCTTCGGTGAACGACCACCGCGACCGATACATCCGGGAACCCATTGAAACCATCCATCCAGTCGTGAGAACCCATCCCGTCACTAAGCAGTTTTCTCTCTACGTCAATCGGCTGTACACAAAACGAATTGTCGGTATGAAGCAGGAAGAGAGTGCCGCCTTACTAGGATTCTTGTTTAACCATATCGAAAGAGGTCAGGACTGGCACTTGCGGGTTCATTGGAGGCCGGGCACGGTGGTGGTCTACGACAACAGGAACACTCAGCACTCTGCGCTGCGAGACTTCAGGGTCGAAGAGGGGACAACTAAGCGGCATATGTTGAGGATCACGCCGCAAGCGGAGAGGCCGTACTTTGATCAATTCAACAGCTCTTAGTGATAGCCCTGTCGCATGTAGCCATGGTAGTTCTGTCGTCTATTGACGTCTATCCTAATGTTTCAACCCCGCTACGTGTTTGTAGGGAACGGCAGATCCTTAGAGCGTGCTAGCCTGCCAAGAAACAGCAGTTCCCGCTGCATGCAGGTGTAAAGTTCACCAGGCCTTCCTCCACATTGTCTGGGCTTCCACGGGATACCCACATCGTCCCTGCTCTTCCCGATTGAACAAGGCGACAGGATGAGAACCGTGAGATGCTGAAGACAACGCTTGGATTGTCCATTCAACCGTGCATGTGAATCTGGTCCACAGTCTGTCACATAATGGGTCATTTCCGGACCCCTTCCAGACCCATCCTGCAAACAAACTATCACCAGCCCCGTCATCCGTCCGTCATCCGTGTACCTGGATCCTGGTAGCAGGAGATCCACAGCTCTCACCCAAGAGCCGTCTGGATGTCTTGTTTCCTGGCTTGTGCGCACGGCAAAGAATCTGCCGACGAACCCATGTCGGGAGGATACCGCAGTGAGGAACCGGCCGGAAGCCAAGACGCTCTAGCGAGTGTGCCATTGACCATTCAGCCCTTTGACTTGATCCTTCGAGCCTATGATTTCCTTCAAGAACAATAATAAGGAGTCTGAGGTAAATGTCTCACATGTTGAATCAAAGCCGGAACAGGAAAGCAAGATCGCTAGGGAAATATGCTCACAACGTCCTGAATTAGGGTGTGTAGCTGCTAATGTCAAAGAGGAGGCTGGCGTTAAAATGCTGGAGAAGTTTGCACTTGTGGCGCCCTAGAAAAGGACGTGAAGGTTGTCTCAGTTCCCCTGGGCTGTTGATTTAAGCCGTCGTGTTCCTGTTCATAGCCACACTGTTTTGTGTCTCGCAGTAGTGCCTCATGTATGGCATTAGAGTTGTAGCTACCGAACTTTCAATCTGACAAGTGACGGATATTGTCGTTTGGCATCTTGATGCGACTGGGCATTCGATTAACATGTGCAAAGAGGGGCCTGAGAGGCCATGACTGTGTTGCATCGCGGCACTTCCTGGTCATAACCCGGCACACATCCCCGGGCCGATCTCCCTCGCCAAGGGGGTATGGGTCGGAGGTATCCCGACAGCAAAAACCATCCTTTTAACAAAGTCAGGTTTGCTGCCGCTGACCTAATGGAATTACTCATGCCACTCAAGCCAGAGGGCAACTCAGTTTGTTTCAAGGATTGTCCTCAGAGGCTTAGCCACTGGTTCGATCGGCAGTAGCGAAACAGCAAGTAAAAAGCCGCTAGACGACAAGCTAGACGTACGCGAGATGTTTTGCACGGCCACCATTTCCGACGTGGCGTGTCGGAACGGTGATAGATCTGTTCTAGCGCTCCTTCGAGAAAGCAAGCCACAGTTATTCCACTGGTCAGCTTCCTCGTCTGTTCACCGGAGCCCGTGTCCTAAGAAGGACTGGTGGCAGACGCTCTAGAGCTTGACTTAACGCGGATGAGGCATTCCTCCCGCCGCCGTCCCGAGTCCGTCGCCGGATCTGGACGTTTTCTTCAAGGCAAAGCTATCCAGAGGCTCGGAGCTGGCTGCTCATTTGTGTTGCCTTACCTCATCGCAAATGATCCCCAAAATCAAATGTCCTTTGAAGCTAGGAGAGCTCTGGTGGGGTCAAGACAGATACTTTCCCTTCTTTTGAGTCTTCAATGAGGGACGAACGGCGCATGCCGAGCTGTCCGGACGCACGACCCGACGCCGTCGACTGAAGGCTTCGGATTGAGCTCTGAAGATGGAAACGCGACACAACAGGACCCATCTACCCCTGGCGTTAGCGCCCGGTGCACGGTAACGACGGTGTCTTGTGATTTCTGCGGCCCGTATCCCTCTTTTCATTTTCGTACTTGTTTAAGGATGGGGAATTATAAAGAATCGTACGACCTTTGCTTGCCTCCCCCCTCCCTCCCCACGATCCCCATAAACCTTGCATCTCTTCAAGTGGGAACTGGGAGGGCCTGCTCTAAAGAAAGGACCCCTGGTAGACATCGAAACGTGAGATCTACGAGTCAACATGGCACCCATGGTTGAGAACCGCGGACCCGAGCTCCTGGCCGTCAACATCTTCTTCGTCTCGGCGGCGGTGTTGGCCACTGCATTGCGATGCTACGTCCGGGCTGGCCTGGTCAAGGCTTTTGGAACGGATGACTGGCTCATGGTCTTGGCTCTGGTATGCATTACTCGATTTGCATGATGATTGTGTATACAGACAGGAAGACATGACTAACTCCATCAAAGGCCTTCTTCATATGCTACTCAACCTTCTCAATACTAGGTGTTCACTATGGCACCGGAAGGCATTTCGCGGATATCGAAGATGACCATATCACCAAAGCGCTCGAGGTCAGCAACTACTCCAAGGCAATACGATTTCCACTGGTAACAAGTGTACTAACACAACCTGATAGTGCTGGTGGTTCTGCTACCTCTTTTACTCCCTCAGCATGATCGTCTCGAAAATGTCCATCGGATTCTTTCTCTTGCGAATTACCACCCGAAGACTACACAGCTGGATCATTTACATAGCTATGATGTTCACTGTCCTAGCCGGAGTCGTTTTCTTCTTCGTGACGCTGTTTCAGTGCCACCCGATCTCGTTCTTCTGGAACAAGAGCCAGCCAGGAAGCTGCATCGATGTCAACATTGTTATAGCGTTGGCATACTTGTACAGTGCCTTCAGTGTCATATCGGACTTGACATTCGCCATTCTCCCAGCCTTTTTGGTTTGGAACCTCCAACTGCGAAAGAAGACGAAGTTTGCTTTGATCCCGTTATTGATCATGGGTTGCGTGTGAGTACAATTAAACCTTATTGGCAACGTGAACGAAGCTGACCATCCTATCAGTGCCAGCTCAGCTGTCTTGGTTCGCTTTGGATATCTTATGGGCCTCAAGGACGCTGATTTCCTCTGTAAGTCGACCGTTTCAAGTTGTCTCTTCCCAGGGACAATCAACTAATTTTAACAAAGGGTCTACCCTCGACATCGCTATCTGGTCATCCGTAGAGCAAGGCCTAGCAATCACCGCCGGCAGCCTCGCAACGCTTCGACCCCTCCTCAAAGCCATCGGCTACAAGTTAGGCATGACCTCAAACCCATCTCCGCACCGCGTCACCGATGACGCTACTCGCCGACCATCGGCCTTCGCAGCCACAACCTTTGCCAACTCCAGCAACGGTCCGCCGCAGTCCGGGCACGAAGATCTCTACAGCATGTCGTACTTTCCTTGTAAATGCTGCGGCACCTTCAAGTGTCAAAAGAGGCAGAGCGAGGCGACTTCTGGAAAGAGAAGATCGAGCATGGGCTTCTCAGCGAGAGCAAGCAAAGGTGACGTTGAGGCTTTGTCGCACATCAAGAGTGTCAGCGAGAACGGGAGTGAGGAAGAGTTGACTTATGGAGGAAGGTCGACAAGGGAGGCTTCTCATGACAATGAGAGGGTGGTCCCGCAGAGCTTCCTCATTGTCGACGAGCAGAAGGACTCGTGAGTTTGATATATCCGATATGACGGCCACAAATCTTAGTAAAAGCATAATACACTGTTTAAGTAATACTAAAGCAATGATAATGAGTCTGACAACTGTAAATAAAGGCCAGTGATGGCCGAATTTGCCAGTGTAGTAGCATGTATTATGTAAGCCAAATCGTATTTAACGAAATTTACCGCTTTCTTAGGTGAAAAGGCGCTTGATCTTTGCGTCTATCATTGGAAGTACTATGATATGATAGTCGATTCATAGAGGTCGCCTTTCCTGATCTCTTGCAGGACAGTACTCGGGGATTAGAGATTTTGGATCTCTCGCACCACCACACAATTATGATCGCCGCAGTTGTAAGATGTCGAGTTCCCTCTTATACCGTTGCGACAATTATTTTTGATCCATGGACTAATTTGATCCGGTTACGTAAAGCGAGGCCTTTCGACACACTTGGATTTTGTTATAAGTTATGGCACGTAGCAATGGGCATACGGAGTGTAATAAAAGTAGCTTAATTATTAATATAGAAATAGATAAAAAGAAAAGGTCTATATATACGATATTTAAAATAGATACGTAATTTAGTACGTAATAAGTACTTCGTAAGGTGCGATTACTATCCTTATTACGTAATATACCCCCTAATTATTACTACTAGGGAGCTATTATACCTAAAATAGAATCTCTAAATACCCTTATAAAGGCCTATTTTAGTTAAATATAAATAAAAAAAAAATAAGTATAAAGGATACGCGTTTTTTAAACCGCGTTTATTATAAATATATCTTTTTATTTAAAGTAAATAGAATCCTAACTCGGAATAGCGCGTATTATACTATTTTTAGTATATAAATTACTAAGGGCAAAGCTACCTAGCCGCTTTATATATATTTAAATTCTTATAGCGTTACTTAGCTATTATTTTTCTTTTTTTTTTTAACTTCTTATAATTATTATAAGTACCCCTATTTACTACGTATATATACCTATATTATTAAATCGTTTACTAATTTTATTTTAAATATAAATATTTAATATATTTAGAAATAATAATAAGTTTTATATAATTTTTATAATATTTCTTATATACGTATTATATAGTTTATTAAGAGTTTAAATAAATAATAATATTAACGAGCCCCTCTAAGTCGTTTCCCCCCCCTATAACCTCTTATTTATTTATTAAAACCTAGGTACTAAGCTCTCCCTCCTTAATTAAGAGGATATTAAAGTTATTATTTAAAATACTAAGGACTTTATTAAGTTCAAAGCTCTTTTTAGTAACTATAATAAAAATAATAATAAAATAAATAATAATAATAAGAGCTCTAACGGGCTTTTACTTATCCCCCCCTCGGAGTTTAAAAATAAAAATAAAACTAGTTTAGATAATAAGCCTTCTAAAAAAAGTATATTATATACTTATTATTTTAAAAGTTTATATTTAATATTATTTTAAGGTTTAAAAAATATAAAGCTAGCTC